GCACTTCACGGTCAGGACAGACCACAACAACCTACGTCACCAGCGTGGACAAGGGCAAGGTCTTCAGATGGGCACTCGCACTAAGCGACTTCACCATCGAATTCATGTCCGGCGAGTCCAACAACATAGCCGACTGGCTCAGTAGATGCGCCGGCGACGACGAAGGAGACGACGCACTATTGGACCGGATATCACTGAAGATCGCAGCTGTGTGGGCACCCCGACTGCTCAACCTCCCTGCACCCCCGACAAAGGAAGACTTCGTCAAAGCATATGCCGAGAAGGGGAACCCAAACCTGCGAGGTCTCCACTACAACAGCCTGTGGTGGATCCATCAGGACAAAGAAGACCTACGTTCCGCCAGTTGCGCACACGGCTGGTCATCGCATTCCACTTCGGTCCGAGCGGCCACCTGGGAGCCGGCAAGACGCGCAAGAGGGTCAATACACGCGGGAGGCGCCGACTGGTATATCCTCGTCATCATAGACCACGCGACCCGATATATGATGGCCAAAATCATTTCAACGTTGGATGCCATGCAGACCTTCAGGACCTTCTATCGGCACTGGGTAGTCCCGTTCGGGCCCCCGGGAATGGTACTGACGGACAACGGCAACAGCTTCCGAAAAACCTTCCGCGCCAAGGCAACGTACCAGCTAGGATGTAAGCACCTGACCGCCGCGCAGTACCGACCGCAAGCAAAAGGCATCAACGAAGTCTCTCACCAAGAACTACACAACGTACTCAAGGCCCCACGGCAAGAAAGCATCAGAGACATAGAACTAACGGTAGATGCAGCCACTCGCCCGCACAACGTAACGCCCCACTCCGCGATAAACACGTCCTCGTACGAGGCAGTCTTCGGCAAACTCCCCATCCTGGACAAAATGCAGGACATGACCCCGCTGAGCTCGGAACAAGAACGCAAGCAAGTGCAACAACAGGTGCTCCGAGAGCGAATGGCCGAGTCTCTCCCCAGAGACCGGCTGTTAGAGGAAGACCCATCCACCGACCTACAACCAGGAGATATCGTCGTGGTGATCCGGATTCCGCCCAGGGGCGTAACGACCTCAAAGAAAAATTTTATACATATCTTGGTCACAACTCACAAGGTCTTCCCTCCGCCTTCTGTTGCTAATTAACTATTATTGTTGTGGTTGTTTTGCCGGGTGAGGAGTGCGATCACCTCGGAAATTTGACCGCCCATCCGGGTGAGGCGGTCGTCCAGGCGGTCGTCCCTCCGCCGGGACTCCTCCCTCACGGCGGTGAGCTCTCCTCTCACACCGGTGAGCTCTCCTCTCACCGCCGCAAGGTCCGCCTCCACCCGGCTCACCCGGTCCTCGAGGGACCCAAGCCGGGCCACAACCGTTGACCACGCATCTAAAACCATAACTAAGTAATTGAGGAGTCAATCTTACGGGAGAGATCATGCGCGGCGACGA